CGGCGGCGCTACCACAAAGTACCGACTCCTCCAGCAGCTCGGGAGCCCGCGCCTTATATACGTTACTAAAAATAGCCTGCGAGGCCGCCTACCAATCAGACGCGGGGAAATTTCGAATTGAGCCAATCGCCAACGTTGTGATGAAGAGGCTCGGTCACGCCAGGCGGGGCAGCTGTGTATTGCAACGGCCGATTGGTCGAAGCTGACATCATAGGCGCTCAACTTCCAGGATGGGTAGGTCGCGATTGGCCGGCTGGTAGGGCCAGCGCTGAGCTAGTCACGTGGGGGGAGGGGAAAAGTGGGGGGAGCTTAGGCCGGAGGAGGAGGAGGAGGTGGAGGGAGGGGGGAGAGGCTGGCAGAAGAGCTTTGAATAGGGAAGTTTTGCAGGGGTTACGTTTGCAGTCAGTTCAGTGTTTGCAAATATTGTGTAGGTTCCTGAGCGAGTCTCTGTGATCCAGGAGAATCCGAATCCGAGGCGTCTAATTGCTGTGCAATTGAGTTTGCATGAAACTTTCACCTCCTCTGCAGGAATTGACTCTTGTGATTTCGGGAGAGAGTTTTACATCTCTCTGACTACAGACCATTACACCTCCCTATTTTTTACAACAGAATTGACTTTTATTTTCCAACCCGACATGGATGTACTCCCAATGTGCAGCATCTTCCAGGAACTCCAGATTGTGCATGAAACGGGTTACTTCTCAGCTTTACCATCCCTGGAAGAATATTGGCAACAGGTAAATAGGGATTTTAACGTAGCAGGCGCCGAGCTCAGCGGCACGTCCAGTGTCCCCGGCACACCGAGGGAGGAGTGGATGGAGGAAAAATCAGGAGTGTGTGTGATTGGAGGTGTCTTCTTATGATTTTATTGTTTGAGGCTTTCTTTTTTTTTAAGGAAGGGAATTCGTTTTTTAATTGGGAAAGGGCTCCTTGCACCCAGAGGCGGAGTTGTCGTGTCGGGGGAGCGCAGCGGCCATCGGGGTTCCCGGAGCCGCCGGGACTGGCGTGGAAACTCGGGACCTCGCTCTGCGTCCGCTCGGCCCCGCACCGAGCCCCTGGCAGAAGTTCGTGCTGTACCAGGTCCAAACTCCACAGCGAGAGCTTGTCATCCGAACTGGCCTTGACTGCCAAGGGACTTTTCCCTTTTTTTTTTTTTAAAGAATTTTGTTTTTGTTTTGCTTTAAAATTTTTAAATGTTGCCCGTAAAAAACAGATGATCCGCGCTCTCCTCCTTTCTTTTTCTCCTATTCCATTTCCAGTATCTTTTCCCTCGGTGGAAACCCGGGTATTGGTCTAGATCTACGGTGTTTTTCTTACCTTGTTGACCAGGAAAAAGAGCTGTTTGCCCAACCAGTGACTTGTCAGTCATATGACAATGAGCCAGTCTTAATTGCTTCAAGTCCTGGTTTGTGAAGAAGAACCTCGACTTTCCGGCATTTTAGTGGAACCGGATTTTTTTTTCTTTTTGACGTTGGAAATTTCAGAAACATTTCCTCACCCTCTCCTACGAGTCGGGATCGACTCATGGCAGCGTTTGTTTTGCTTTTTTGAATTTGTAGGGTTGCCAGCCAGGAAAGAGACACTGACACTTGTCCCATTGTCTTTCAGGAGATAGGAGGAGGGCTGGTGGCTTCTGTGCTGCTTGCTTTTTGTCACCAAGAGAATGACCAGATTAAATAGGAGTAGATGATGGTGGATTCCAAACCTAGAAAGCTTTTAAGGCAGATGAAACGCCAAGTGTGGCAACCTTCAGGAGCCTGCTTAATTGTTCACAATCTTCGTCCTGCCTTACTCCCCCACCCCCCCTTTTCCTCCAAGAAGCTGCTCCCCAGTACGTGATCGAAATTGATCTAAGTAGTTTCCTTCAGGCATTTGGGATTTGGGCACAAAGCCAAAGTTGGCTCCTGGTCCCCTTCTGAGGCATTTAAACTCACCAAGAGCTTCGGTCTGGTCCCTAGTGCTCAGGACATAATGGAGATTTTAAATTAGCCAGATTATTAAAATTTAACAAGATCTCAATAAATGTGCTTTCCTTTTTCTTTGGAGCACCAATAAGCTATATTGCTGTCTCTCTCCAGAATAGGTTGGGATGCATTTCCACTCAGTTGTCTAATCTGAGGTGTAAAAAAGACAACAATTATCTCCCCTCGGCCTCCCATTGCTTGCTCCTGCTTGCTCTGGTGAAGAGGATGTGGAGAAAGGGGAAGGGTACACATCACATTATAAGAGAAGGCACATGGCAAAGACTGATGAGCGCTGCTTAGAGCCAGGAAGGTTATCTGTCCAGAAAATGATTTGCTTAGAAGAACAGAGTTTGGTAATGGACGTTTACATGTGTGGAATTGCCAGTCTGTATGGACAGCCTTATATGGACATAAAGACAACTAACCGTGGTGGAAATGAGGAAAGAGATCATTTTAATCCTAAATGTTTCCTACCATTTTTCTTTTCCAGTGGCTAGAAAGTTTGAAATGGTGGGGAGAGGGGATGCTGAACTCGGCAGTTGTAGCTTCTTGAAAGGTTGGTTGTGGGGGTTGGGGAGGGGGCCCACATTCTATGACACACTGCATGTATATTTGAACCGAGTACTTTTTTGGCCCTTGGTCAGAATTTCAAAAGGAAGTCTCCTTTGGCATTGCGTGAAAGAAATAGAGTGATGACTCATACAGTTGTACTCTTGGCCAGTAGATAAAGTTCTTGTTCATTGTGGGACTCCCCGCAGGGCCATTTCCCCTCTTGCATCCTTTTACAATAGCATATGGCTCTTCTGGAATGGTTTCTCCACTCTTGCTGAAGTTCCCTATTTTTCTCTGACCACTGTAGAAATCATTAAAGTTTGGTGGCGTGCATGGCCCAGCACTTGGAAACGGCATTCTTTGCAAGCCCCCGAGGGCTCCAGCAGCACAGGATATGGGTGGTTTATCTGCAACCCCACTGATGTCACCGACAACAAATTGTCAGCTAGCTGCTGTCCTGCTCCAGTGTGGCATTGTGCTGTCAGCCCTGTGTTCAGGGCAGCCTGTCAGACCACATTGCGTGCTGTGCTGCCTTTCTGTCCCGCGGTGTGACTGTGTGTCAGCACGTGAGGAGTGAACGGCTCTGACTTTCTTTAATAAAGATGGTTCCTGAGACTGTCAGATAATCTGGTTAAACCTGTTGGGGGGGGTGTGTGAGAGGCTGGCTTTCTTTGTGTGGTTTACAGGGGAACTCATTAGAAACGTCAACACTGTTAACTGTAACAAACACTGGCTCAGTGATCATCACTCATTTTGGCCATTAGTCCAATAATTGAAAAGGCAAGAGACGTTTGTGCTTTTGTGTGTGTGTGTATGGGTGTGTGTTTGCATCCAAATTTCCCCCCATAATTCCTAGAGACAGATTTCTTCCAACTTCCAGAAGATACGCCAGTGGTTAATTTTAATAGGTTGTCTACGCTGCAGTGATCCCGCAGCAGCGTTCATGTGCGCGTCCATCCCTGCATGTGTTTGCAAATGTGTGTTGGCTCCCATTTTTAGCAACTGTCACAATCACGCCCCTCTTCTTGGTTCCTTTTGCGCAGACCTGCCTGGAATTGGAACGTTACCTCCAGAGTGAGCCCTGTTATGTGTCAGCGTCGGACATCAAATTTGACAGCCAGGAAGATCTGTGGACCAAAATCATTCTGGCTCGGGAGAAAAAAGAGGACGCGGAACTGAAGATTTCGTCCAGCCCCCCAGAGGACCCGCTGATCAGCCCGAGCCTTAGTTACAATTTAGAGACCAACAGCTTAAATTCAGACGTGAGCAGCGAATCATCTGACAGCTCCGAGGAACTTTCACCCACTACTAAATTTACCTCCGATCCGATAGGTGAAGTTTTAGTCAATTCAGGAAATCTCAGCTCCTCAGTCACGTCCACTCCTCCTTCCTCTCCAGAACTGGGCCGAGAACCCTCTCAGCTGTGGAATTGTTTACCTGGGGAACTGCATTCACCGGGTAAAATCCGTAGTGGGACTGTGGGGAAGCCCGGCGACAAGGGCAGTGGGGATGGCTCCCCAGATGGCAGGAGGAGAGTCCACCGGTGCCACTTCAATGGCTGCAGAAAAGTTTACACCAAAAGCTCCCATTTGAAAGCACATCAGCGCACTCATACAGGTCAGTAACGTCCTGTGTACCAAAGGAGCTGGGGAGCGCTGGGCCTGAACACCCCCATGGGGGCGCTGTCATTGAATCACACAAACCCTGGGTGAGAGCCGAGCGCTGGCTGTGAATGATGCCATCCTAGCCGAGCCTAACCAGCATTCCCAACCTCACTTCCTCATTCTTGCCACAAAAGACCTGGATCTTTTTGGAAGTACAGAGTAGAATCTTAAAAGACTGGACATTTGTGCCGGCTGAATGGTTAACCCTGGCAGATTGAACAAAACAGGAGCTAAATCTTACTCTCCATCGGCACTCAACCCTCCGCCCACCCCGGCAATCTTGTTTATGAAGGGTTTATTGTACCCAGTCAGCCATTTTCCACAGATAAGGTTATCTTGAGTTGTGGATCATGCTTTGACATGAAACTCAAGGGTCAGGACAGACAGCCTGGAGCTGATGTGCTCCCTGCTGTTGTTGACATTGGGCATGTGAGGACAGACCCTGGGTGCTGTTCCCCATACTCCTGACCCGGTCAGAAGCAGGCTTGGTTGGTTGGCTATTTATTGAGAATATCTCTGGGCATAGCACTACGGGCCACGCAGCCTCTGTGTTCTGATCCCACTGAGAAAAGAAAGCTTAATGGATTACAAGAGCATTGCTAGAATCCAGTTTAAAAGCGCCTGGCCAGATGATTGGGGAGGGATCACAGAAATTGTGTAGAGATGGGAAGGGCTCAGGAGTCAGACCAGTGCCTGCCTCAGGGTCACATTTGCTGCGGCTGCTGCTTCTCTTTGCTTTTCCTTTGAAACATTTTAAAATACAATATTCTCGGGCAGTGCTGTTGTTGAATTTATATTTGTACACTGACCAGGGAGGAAAGTCTTTTGGTCCTCTGATTGCCAGTTAAGAAGTTATTTGAAACCCATGGAGTGGGGTTTCACAGTAACTCATGACTTCAGTGTTGGAGAAATGTAGAAAGTCCCAGAGGAAACTACGAAGACTCATTCCACGGGGAAGTGAGTAAGAAACAAAATAAGTACTTGAGAGAAACAGTTTCCATGGAGAAAGCAATAAAACCCAGCCCTTGACAAGGTTGTTAGGCCAGGAGGCTGACACATCATCTCAGAAGCATTTCACCAATCTGAGTAATTGTCATTCTTAGATGTCCCCTTTGATTGCAATGATAGGGCTTTTGCTGAAGTTGGGGTCCTTCCACTTCAGAGTACTGAAACCCGGGTGGGAGAAGAGTTCATGCTGGTTGCTGTACCTTATGAGCCACTGCCCTTTATTGAAGTGTGGGATGCATTCTTTCAGCAGACCCTGAGCATGTCAATGAATACATTTGCACACTGCTCCTGGCACCCCGTTGTTGTGACACCCTCATTCCCTCATCCTGGTTTCAGGGACGTCATAGTGAACTTGCCGTGTGCTTGCTTCATAGGAGAAAAGCCTTACAGATGCTCCTGGGAAGGATGCGAGTGGCGTTTTGCAAGAAGCGATGAGTTAACCAGACACTTCAGAAAGCACACCGGTGCCAAGCCTTTTAAATGTGCTCACTGTGACAGGTACGTGGACGATGAGCTCAACGCTTGCCGAGGCAAAGTTACAAGTTGCCCCCAACCAGCATCGACCAGGCATAGCGTAACTTGGCCTCAAGGAAGGCATCCCTGGCCCCGGCCCACCGTTGATGAACACTTCTTTTTCAAATCTAAAACTTTTAAAAAAGTCAAATAATACTAACTTTCCACATGAAGGGGGTACTAGCCCACATGTAAGTGGGAATAAAGTCATCTCATTAGCATGCTTTGAAGATGGCCTTTCATCAGCCATCAGATTTGAAAATCAAGGCTCTCCCAAGAGCACAACTGGACACTGCTAGTTTAGGACCTTCCCTCATCGGTATCTCATTAGATGAAATGGCCCATCCGCAAAAGACTGTAATGAAGCAGAGAAACACCCCCCCCCCC